TACTGTATATTTTAACTAAAATATATTATATTATATTTTATATATATATATATATATATATATATATATATATATATATATATATATATATATATATATATATATATATATATATATATATATATATATATATATATATATACATACATACATGAAATATCTTGTAAGACCAACGAGTATTGATTTAGGTTTAAAAATCTAAAAAAATTAAAAAAAATCTACTGAAATGTAAGGATATGTACTGGACAGAGTCTGGACCCAATGCTTGGTTGGGGCACCTTTTGCAAGAATAGATGCATCTTATTTCATATAAAATAGATTTGGAGACCTAAACATTATTCACTAATTTTAGTTTCTCCATCTTAATCCTCCCTGCTCTTTGTGAACCATTTTCTAAGTTTTTTCCTCAACTCAACTTCCCATTACTCTGCTGACCAGAGACTACAGGAACCTGGATCAGGTTTACTGCAACATTCCTGGAGCATAAAAGGCTGCAACCTTTGGGTTTTTCATTAGAAAAAAAATTCTAATTTTCATTAGAAAAAAAGAAAAATATCTTGCTATAGAACCTGTTCTTCTTGAAGCCTGCAGTAAAAAGTTGTATGTTTAAACATTTTAAGAAATGAAATAAAGACTTAATATAACAGATTAAGATGGATTTTCTAATTATCCTGTCACCACATTAGAAAGTAGGTGTAATTATAAGATTCACCAAAGCTGATAAAACATCAGTAAATATTTTGACCCCGGAGAAACTCAAATAACACAACACAAATAAAGCTTAAAATATTATTAAAAGTGTACATTTCATTCGGTAATTCTGTTCAACAATAATCTAGATCAATAAAAGAATTAGAAATATAAAATTGTTTAAATACAGAAATGTTATCTAAGTATAAGCATGTCTCTGTGTTTTACATACTATGCAGTCTTGGTTGAGGCTCATTTTGCATAAATTACTGCACCATAAATGCATCAGAAAAGTTGCAAATGAGATCTCTAATTCCTCTGGACAACAGCAATGTTAAGCATCTGTTTCTGAATATATAATTTATTCATCAACACATTGATGTCAAATTTTATCTTAAATAAAGTAAAGATTTATTTTCAAATAATCTAATAAAGTTTTACTCACCATATCCATCACTGTTTTGTGGGATTCTAAGAGTACTGAGTCCAAATTAATCAGCTGAGACCTGAACTGATATGGAAGCTTGTTTTGATTTTTTTTTAACGCAAAAAAATAGATATATAATCATATTTACTAATTAGTGTTTCCACTTCTGGGAGCAAAAATACTATTTATGTCAAACATAATAAAACATGCGTTTATTTCAGTGTTAATCGTTCCTATTACAACTGTGAAAGGATGCAGCCTGAAAATAATCTTCAGAAACTATATAATTATTAAATACTGAAAGTGAGGATTTGTTCCCTTAAATGTTAGACAGCAGATAAAATGACTTACTTGTTCCAGCCTCAACATCATCTCCACCTAGGTCAGAAAAAAAAGATGATAAATGTTTAGTAATATATCAGCACTCACACTTATGTCCTATCTATTTTCAACCATCTAGTAATGAGTATTTAGTCACAGGATAAATAAACAGCAGACTCTCTATTAATTCCAACACAGTCCTGCTTTCAACTTCATCCCTAGACCTCTCTGACCTGTCTGCAGGTTGTTCTCTGAGGTTCTCTAACAAACCTCTGTATCCTTCATGAAACTGCTGGATTAATACTGAGATTAAATCACCTTAAACTATTTTCTAATAGCCAGAAAATCCACATTCTGAAGATTACACATAGCAAGATTATCACAACTTTAAACAATTAAGGAAAGCCTGGATGATAATGATTATGATGTTATGTCTCTTTAAGTGTTTCACCAGACGATGCATTTATGGCAACACCTCAAAAACTGCTCGAGTAAAATCAGAAAAGGAATCCAATGAAGATATTAGGAAGAGTATTGTGAAACTCCACAAGTCCAATTCTTATTTAGTAACGATTTCCAGATGCTTAGAGCCTCCAACATACACCCATTCAAACAACTATAGTCTGATGTAAGCATAGTGGGATAGTCCATCTATCACACTGAAATAGATGGGTTCTGTGTCCCAGAGATGAATTGTGGTGCAAAAACTACAAATTGTCCCCAGATTAAAAGCTAAAGTCCTGCTGAAGAAACTGAAGAATCTGTAAATAGAGCAAGAATATTAACGATGAAAAAAGCATTGAACAAATATGGGCTGAACAGCCGCTCAGAAAGGAAGAAGTCATTCCTCTAAATGTAGAGCGAACTCCAGCTCGCAAAGACTAAGATTTTTTGGAGAGATCATCTGTGGTCTGATGAAATTAATTTAACCATAATCATCACTTGGACGAGAAAGGGAGGTTTGTAGAGGAAATCACCCCAGCTGTCAATTAGGACGTTGACAGTATCATGATGTAGGAGAGTTTTGCCCCAGGAAGAAGAACTGATGATATCAAGAAGGAAGGTTACTTTAAACTAATAAATACATTTCTAGAGACATCTGGCAGGAACTTAAAGCTTGGATTTTCAAAATACATGATGACTAAAAACATAACAGAGAATGGTTGTTATTCAGGATTGACCAAAGCTGATAAAACCTCATGTAGTAGCTACTTTGTGACTGCAGAAAAAAACACGGCTTAAAATCTTGTCTGTTACATAAGAGATAATACCTTCTTAAAATGTTATAAACCATTTTGTGCTAGTTTGATTAAAACCATATTATACAGATGAATTAGAAAGTTATATTGTCTGTCAGTCTGACTGTCCAGGCTAGTTAATTAATATACCAGAATCAGAGGCCATTTAAAGTCTGTAGATTTTAACCTTGTTATAAATTACATACTGCGTAATGAACCTGCATAAAATAAGTTGAACAACAGGTTTTTATACGTATCTATTTTGTTTATATATCAACACGTGAGTGACAGGGTACAAAATTCTTAGGGGAAAAAAAGAAGCTTTACTAGACCAATTCATCATTATTTTGTGTAATTTCTACCGACACTGTTTCAAAAAAATCACCATCCTAAAGTCATGCCAAAAAAAGTTTAAAAGTTAAAAAACAAACCACTGGACTTTGTTACCCTAGTTCGAAGATGTTTAAAACTTGGAAAACGAAGTCCAGTGGTTTGTTTATTAACCTTTTTGGAATGACTATGACCTGGATGACTGAGAATCTTCACCAGCACACACCACCCTAAAGGCGTGCACTTATTTCCTCGATACGCTGTCTTTAGAGAAGCAGAAGAAAAATAATCCTTAAAGTCACAAATTCTCCTATTGCATTTTCTAGGCAAATTCCACATTGCAAAAAAGCCAATTTATTCATGGAATAATGTTCCAAGGTGAGAATACCTTGACAATCCAGGGAATATAGCTGTGTTATAATGTTTAGACATTATGCATCAACTTTCCTTATTTAGCCTTTAATTGTTGTCTAAGAATAAACAATCAAGTTAAACGATAAATATAGAATAATCAACTTACTTGTTTTTTTCCGTCCATTTAAACATTCTGTATCAAAGATAAATACATATGTTACAGTTTCAAACTTGGTTATATGTGTATTGAAAACATTTACAGACAATTTAGTAACTTACCTCTCAACCTTTGGAAATATCCTACAATAGAAATAAAGACATCAGTGTTAGATCATTCATTTCTGTATCATAGTTCAGGTTTAACTTTCTCAGGAGTCCAAGAAAACTTCCTGGGTAAGATGTCATCACAATTTACACAAAACAAAACTGGATAATTATTTGCTGAAGGAAAATAAATTTATAAACAGGCTGTTTATATACCAGACCTTCTTTGAAACTCTTCTACCCAACGACAGGTTAGCTAACAAATCCAATAAAACATGAAAGTAATTATGGTGTTTTCTTGCAGTCTTACCTTTTCTGTACAACAGAGCAGTAACAATCCCAGCTACAACCAGGAGAATAATCACAACTGGTACAGCTGCTGTTAGAGCATGATTATCTGGAATAAAAGATTAAATCATTAAAATGATAAAATATTCAGAGTCTATTGGTTTTAAACCACAGTGGTGGCAGCATCATGCTCAGTGGAAGCTTCTCCTCAGAAAGAACAAGGAGGCTGAAGAGAAGGTGGAAACATTAGAGGCTGAATAAGACTTTAGACTGAGCTGGATGTTCACCTTTAAACAGAAGGATAACCCAAAACATCTCTGGTTTAGTTCTAAACTTAGTGAGGTGTTGGAATGGCCTTGTTAAAGGCCAGACCAGATGTAAAAACCTGGAAGATATGACCAAAAGACAAACAGATTAAAAGTTTTCTATTTTGTTTTTAAACAAAACGATTAAAAAGTCGCTTTAAATATCCACAATCAATTAAAAGCTTTTTGTTTTTAACTCCTTTTTCTTTCAACTTATTTCTCTTCTCTAATGTTTATTTGATTTGAGATATTTAGACAGCTTTTATTGTTTAGTACAGCTTTACAGACAGTAAATGAACATTTCCGTAAATGTGCAGCAATGATCAAATGTAAATAAATCAAAACAAAAGAACAGCAACAGAAAATAAAGCTAGTGACAAACTTAATGCTTGTTTTTGACACAACCTCTGAGGGAAATGTTTTTCTCACATCATGTCCAAGAATAGGGGTGGGATTTTGTTGGGATTTGGGTGGGTGTTGTTAAGCAGGAAAAGTTTTGATGATTTCTCCTGCTTGTTTTTGGTTGAAACTTTCTCTCGAGTGGATAGAAGTTGGTGTTCGTATGACAACAGAAGGTGAAAACATAAAGAATAGGTGGGAATGTTTTCAGCTCACCACTGATAAAGGGGTTATACACTGTTGCACTGGAGCAGCTGCTGACAGGGTTTACCAACTCACAGAAAAAGGAGCTTTCCTTATTCTCCTGAGAAATAAATAGAAAACAGCTCTAAACCAAACCATGAAGGTTCTACTGAGTTCTTCCAGGGTTTCTCATCCTCATACCGTTGTTATCAGCAGCTCCTTGTCGGTGGACAACTCTGTGTCACCTGTTTTCCATTTATACGTCACAGGTCCAAAGTCAGCAGTGACTTGGGCTTCACAGGTTAGATTACAGCTGGTCTTTTCATGGTTGCACTCTGTGGACACTGTGGGTTTTGGGACCGGTTCTGACAGAAACAGGAACAGATTATCTCAACTTGATTCAGGTTAAAACCTAACAAACCTCAGTCAAACCTGCTGAACTCACTGATAACCTGGAGTTCCTTCTTCTCCAGAACTTTGTTGTTGATCTCAACTATGTAGCTGCCGCTGTCCTCTAGAGTCAGACTGTTGATGGTCAAACTTCCACTTGTTTTATCAAAGTCACAGTGACCTGGAAGCAGGATCCAGATAAAGACAACATGGATGATGTTAATCTGCAGGTTCTTGAGCTTTCTAGTCAACTTACCTTTAAAAGCTCCGTCACTTTTAATATCCTGCCAAGAAGACTTTGAGGTGAGGTCCAATTTGTGCCTCCATTTTACTTTCTCAATAGGCTCTGAAATCTGTCCTGGATTCAGAATAATGGAGCCACCAACTTTTCCATAGATCAGATCAGCTGTGAATGAAAAACAAGAACATTTTTACTCCTTCATGTGAACTTTTTCTGTTTCTCAGCAGCTGTAATGTTTAACCCTTTCTATCATATCTGCTGATCTACAGAACAGAAGAGAACAGGAAGTTTATTAACTTTCCCAACATTTAAAAGTTCTGATAAACAATAAATCTCTGCATCAAAAAACTCAAATGAAGGTGATGGAGGAGAGTTTTTAGCTTAAACTACCAAAGATCATCTGCTGACTGAAGCAAAGGCTTTAAAAAAAAGTTGTTCAGCAAATTAAATAACTTTATTCATTAAAAAACAACATTTTGAACCTAAATAAATCTTATTCAACCACCTGGAGTATATTCCAGCTGATCCATAGCTTAAAATAGGATATAATGGGTCTTTAGGTCGACTTTCCTACAATTCATCCGAAATCTATTAGTTCATGTTTTCCTAGAACTGTTCTGGATCTTTAAGATCTTTCCATAAAAGTGTCCCTCTGCTTGTGAAACTTTTGACGTAAAGTGAAATAATTTAAATAGCTTTTTAAACCATTGTAAAATGCTTAAACCTACATACATATTTTCTCAAAGTTTCTTGAACTATGAAAGTCTTTTAGACAATCATCTTATTTTGGTTTCAAATATTTTACCTCTATTATAAAATAAAAATGCTGCATTTTATTGAAATTATACAGAAAACAATTCTTTCTCTACAGGCAGGTCGATTTAGACGGGTTTATTTTCTTAATAAACAACAGCTAAATAAAATACATTTCATCGTTAATTCAAATCAACATTTTGAACCTAAATAAACATCTAATTCAACCAGCTGATTCATGGCTTCTAATAGGATATAAGGAGCTTTTGGGTTGACTTTCCTGAAATTCATCAGAAATCTAATAGTTCATGTTTTCTAAGATTTTTTTCTGGATCTTTAAGATGTTCTCATAAAAGTGTCCATCTGCTTTTAACACTCTGAATATACATTTCAAATATTTCACTTTTTTTTTTAAACTCATTAGCTAAGGTCAAACCTTCATAAATATTTTCTGAAAAATTGTAAAACCAGGGGAACTCTCTTAGACAAGCATCTTTTTTTGGAGGTCGAAATATTTTACATCCTATGTGAATTAATATGTTTTATTTTATTAAAAGTATACAAAAATAATTTTGATAGAATTTGAAAAGTTTGTTTTATTTATTTTTCTGAAAGTTGTGTTTCTTTGATAGGTGAAGGTGGAAAAGATAAAGAATAGATGGGAATGTTTTCCTCTCACCTGTGATAAAGGGGTTTTCCACTGTTTCACTGGAGCTGCTGCTGACAGGGTTTACCAACTCACAGAAAAAGGAGCTTTCCTTATTCTCCTGAGAAATAAATAGAAAACAGCTCTAAACCAAACCATGAAGGTTCTACTGAGTTCTTCCAGGGTTTCTCATCCTCATACCATTGTTATCAGCAGCTCCTTGTTGGTGGACAACTCTGTGTCACCTGTTTTCCATTTATACGTCACAGGTCCAAAGTCAGCAGTGACTTGGGCTTCACAGGTGAGACTCCAGGCATCCTTCTCATGGTTGTACTTTATGGACACTGTGGGTTTTGGGACCGGTTCTGACAGAAACAGGAACAGATTATCTCAACTTGATTCAGGTTAAAACCTAACAAACCTCAGTCAAACCTGCTGAACTCACTGATAACCTGGAGTTCCTTCTTTGCAAGAATTTTGTTGTTGATCTCAGGTGTGTAGCTGCTGCTGTCCTCTAGAGTCAGACTGTTGATGGTGAAACTTCCACTTGTTTTATCAAAGTCACAGCGACCTGGAAGCAGGATCCAGATAAAGACATCATGGATGATGTTAATCTGCAGGTTCTTGGGTTTTAAAAGACTTTCTTGTTGGAAAATCAGCTGACCTTTAAAGTTTCTATAACAAATAATGTCCTCCCCAAACCACTCCAAGACAAAGTCTTCTTTTTGCCTCCATGTTGCTCCCCTAATGGGCTCTGAAATTTGACTTGGATTCAGAACAATGGAGCCACCAACTTTTCCATAGATCAGATCAGCTGTGAATGAAAAAAAACAACATTTTTACTCCTTCATGTGAACTTTTTCTGTTTCTGAGCAGCTGTAATGTTTAACCCTTTCTATCATATCTGCTGTTCAGATCTAATATAGCTTTAGGTTTTTCTCTACATTGAAAAAAAAGTTCCGGAGTTTATATCATCATCAAAGTACTAAATTGCAGAAAAGTACAGGATTTGTTGTACATTTGTAACATTTAAAATAAAAGTAAATCATTACGTAAAATAAACCCAAATTATGAGATATTCCATATTCTCCGGTGGAAGGCCCAAGCTGATGCTGGAAACTGTTATGTCTGATAAGCTTGTCCCCAGGGCTCGGTGTGTATCACGGAGAAGTGATTTAATTGTTTTTACACCACCAAAAAAGTCTAAAATACATTCCATATGTAATGAAAGTTTGTAAAACCAGGATACTTCTTTTAGATAGCTGTCTTATTTGAGTCTGAGGCTAAGGAGGATTGACAAGTCATGCCTACTCGGCAAGTTCAAGTCCTGGATATACCAGCATGGGCTCCTACCAAGGCTTCTGTGACTGTTGAGTCTATCAAATCCCAGTGACTGCAGTGGAGGGATTGGAAAGAAGAGTGAACAATTATCTGAGGCAGTGGCTTGGTATTCCTCTCAGCTTTACTGCAGTTGGGCTCTGCATTCGATCAGGACAGCTTCAACTTCCATTTTCCTCTGTGCTGGAGGAGTTCAAGGTGGCCAAGTGCATGGTGGCAATGATGCTCAGAGACTCAAAGAACGAGCAAGTAAGCAACGCAGGGGTCACAACATGAACAGGCCGTAAGTGGGCAGCAGACACTGCAGTCAGACAAGCTGAGAGCTCCCTGGAGTTGAGAGACATAATTGGTAGTTTCTGCATGGGTCGGAAAGGACTGGGAATATCTCACTTCACACTGTGGAGGAAGGCAAGCGTCCAGCAGAGGCAGGAGATGGTACTAGTGGAAGTTTGTCACCAAGAGGAGGAGACATGGAGGGCTAAGGCTGTTGAGTTGGCAACCCAGGGAACATGGACCAGATGGGACCTAACAGGAGGGTCACATGGACTGAGCTCTGGAGGCTGGAACCTTTCCGTGTTAGCTTCCTCCTGAGATCTGTGTATGACATGTTCCCATCACCAGCGAACTTAGCCAGGTTGGGCTTGAGGAAGGACCAGCTCTGCAAGTTGTGCATAAAGAGGGGGACACTGGCCCACATTTTAGCAGGGTGCCAAATCGCTCTGGCTCAGGGGAGATATAGGTGGCAGCATGACCAAGTGCTCCGAGTGATGGCTGACATTTTCAAGCAGGCCAGGAGAAGACCGCAGCTGACTAAGCCACAAGTACCATCAATGCAATTCGTCAGGGTGGGAGAAAAGCCATCCCCTAATAAAACAGCCAGGACCAACATCCTCCAGGGGGCACAGGGGTCGGAAGTGACAGTTGACCCGGGGAAGAGGCTCACTTTCCCCACCCATCGTCCAGAGCAATCGAAGAATATCATCCTGGTGGAACTGACTGTGCCTTGGGAGGAAGGCTGTGAGGAGGCCCATGAGAGGAGGAACCTAAAATACCAGGACCTCATCATGGACTGCAATGACAAAGGCTGGCAAGCATGGCTGTTTCCAGTGGATGTCGGGTGCCAGTCAATGTAGTCTGTGCTCACTGCACTTGGAATATCTGGCAAGGAGAGGAAGACAGCTGTGCGCAGGATTGCGGAGGCAGCAGAAAGAGCCTCATGCTGGTTGTGGTTTAAGAGGGAGGAGGGGGGCTGGAGGCCTGGAGAAGATGGGCAGTGACCTGGCCATCACTGCTGACCCGCCAGCTGGAGGAGTGTAGCGGTTAAGGGTCTGTCGCTACCCGATCCGTACCGGTAGCACGATACGTACCATCAGCTCATTTGCGTCTGCGCGAACAGAATAACTTCCGGGTCGCCAAAAAATAATGTAATTACGGTACTGAAAAAAATTTAGATATATCCCTAAATAATTAAAGAATACTAAACTACATCGTAAAGACAATATTGAAGACTTTTCTGGAAGAAATGGATGCTTTTTAAATTCAATCCATTGTATTGCTTGACGTCATCATCAGACATGCTAAGAGCAGTCTGGGAATATATTGTTGCGTAACGTTTATCTGATGCACTCTATGATAATAGAGTGAATGCACTCTATTATTTTTTTTATAGTACAGAGTAAATCAAATATTTAAACAAATTTAAATATATACGCTGTGTGACATATATTTGCGCATGCTCAGAGCAGTCAAAGTAACTATCACAAGGCGATTGAACTTTTTTATGTATTTCTGTTTTTTTTATTTTTAGAAAATGCAATATTGACAAAAATACAAAGATATACAAAAAGAAACCCATGCCTCTAAAAAATACAAAAGAATAAAAAAGTAAGAAAAAGGAAATATTGCCACCGGAAGTTATTCTGTTTGCGCACGTGCAAATGAGCTGATGGTACGGATCGTGCTTCCGGTACGGATCGGGTAATGACAGGGTAAAAACACCCCGTGAAGGTTGGGCACCGTCTGATGACATCAGCTCCAGGCCAAAAGCCAGCCACATTCACATTAGGGAGTGGCTGTATGTATAGCATCACGTGATGTATTCAGTAAGTCCAAATATTAGTTCAAATATAAATGAAAAATGCAGCATTTTATTTGTCATATCATAAACAATGTTGATGATGACTATAATCTAGTTTAAATCCTGCGTTAAACGTTAAAGGTTTAACATTAAATGTTTAACCTGCGATAGAATCATTAAAATGTTTAACAACCTATAAATTTCAAGAAAAGAAGTTTGTACATAATTAATCGCAGATTTCAGTTAGTGATTATCTAATTAATATTTTTGCTAAACATTTTTCCTTTTTAAGTTGTTGTTAAATATGTGCAACAAAAACTTAATTTTTTTATATTTAGATTCAGATTCTTAAATATGTGTTTTTGTGTCCATGCCTGTCCTCTGTTGCTATTTAAAAAAAAGCAGTGAACTGTCCAAGGTGTACACCTGGGATTACAGTCGCCATCTTGGAGCGGTCGTCAAACCTGTTTTGGCTAAACCAAAGCAAAAGAAGACGCCTCAGCAGGTGTGGCAGGTTGTTGTTCAAAATAACCTACTATTCGGCTCGGGGGGTCGCATTTTAAAAGAAAAAAATAACTTTATTTATAGTTTCTGATTAGAACATTACTGTATTTATCTCCACACACGAAATGTCAGCAATATGCATAAATATCTGTCGATGCAGCAGACCACCCAGCTGCGGCAGAGGAACAAGATCTCCTCAGGTTCTCCAGCAATAAGCTCATCAAGGGACAAACACATTAAGAAAATCTAATTAATCTAAATACTCACCAACAGTTAGTTTCGCCGAGCTGATAAGAAGAACCGCAGACAGACACCAGCTAATGAACATGGTCATTAAAAAGAATAGATCAACTCCAAAAACAGAGTTTCAGCTGATAATACTAAAGAAGAACATCAGCAGCAAAATTGATGTCTGTGAGGGAGAGAAATATTGGAGTTAGAAAAGGAAGAAGGATCGAGAAATATGGGAATAAGTCCATCTATAAGGAAAAAGAAAGTAGATACTACAGAGATAATGAATGGCGCACTGAATATCTAGTAGAAACACTTGACACAGATCTCTGAAAGTGCCTTAATGAAATGAAACACAAGTTAATCCTTGATGAGAATATGTGTTGGAGACAAACACTAGAAATCAGATGCAGGGAACGTTTGGGTATGAATGTAGAGGCTGTGCATTACAGGCGGCTGTGTGAATGGAAATGGAAAGGTGTGCACTTACCTGCTGCCAGAGTGCTGATAAGTTAGGTCATGGGGAGCCGTAACTTTAGTTGAACGCAGTTTATTAATCCACACAGATTTCATTTTGATCCCATGGTTTCATAATCCATCTAGTTGCGCTCCTTCGTTGTACTGAATTCCTCAAATCTCTGCTTATCTGTCACCAGATCAGCGCGTCTCTATTCTGAGAAACGCTGAACCTGACCTACAGTCTCAGCTCAGTGGCTAAAATGGTTGGAAAGGAAGCTGCGACAGTAGGATTACACAGCAAAATTTGAAATCTTAATAAGTAATTTAAAAAAAAAAATAAGTGCATTTTCTTAAATTGAGAAGGTAAGTGAAACACTTTGCCAATGGAATAAGTATAACTATATAAATTTAAAATAAGAAAAGATAATTGCATTGTCTTATTTCAAGTGCATGTTTTCTAATTATCTTGTTTTAGGTGTAAAAATACTTATTCCATTGACAAATCGTCTTATTTACCTGCTAAAATTAAGGGTAGATACACTTAATTTAAGACAGTTATGTTTATTTCCAGTAGGGTTTATGATTATAATTTAACAATATTGAAATAACAAAATTCACTCTTTCCTAAAATTTGAATATCAACAAAGTACAAATATATATATCTATATATATTGATATATATAGATATATATATAGCCTTAAAATGTAATGATCTGGCCTGATTCCTCCACCTTAATTATCATTTATTCCTCTCAC